GCAATCAGGAATGTTTTTTATGAATAGCCTGATCTTTAAAGTATAATCGTCTGCCGATGTCTTTATCCTAACCCTAAACTAGTTCTCACTCTTCTATGATCCTACCAGTCCAGAAGGAAGCAAGCAACTTCCGTAGGGCCACTTTAGGAGCGTAGATGTCTGTGATTTTAAGGTTGCTGTAATCAAACCTTCACTTAAGAAGCCTTCTCTGGATCCAGATGACCCAATGAATTATAGACCAATATCTAACCTTCCATTTTTATCCAAAGTCCTGGAGAAAATAGTGGCCATCCAAGTATGTCAGCATTTAAACACTAATGCTCTGTTTGAGGAATTTCAGTCTGGTTTTAGAGAGTATCACAGCACTGAAACTGCATTAGTGAGAGTTACAAATGATATTCTCATGGTCTCAGATAAGAATCTTGTGTCTGTTCTAGTCTTGTTAGATCTCAGTGCTGCCTTTGACACAGTTGATCACAATGTTCTTTTAGAAAGACTTGAACATGTTGTAGGGATCAAAGGAACAGCGCTAGGCTGGTTTAAATCCTACCTGTCTGACAGATTTCATTTTGTAAACGTACATGACAAATCGTCTTCATACTCCAGGGTCACTTGTGGAGTACCACAGGGTTCAGTGCTTGGACCAATTCTTTTTACTATTTATATGCTCCCAATTGGTAAAATCATTAGACAGCATGGGATAAACTTCCACTGTTATGCTGACGATACTCAGCTATATTTATCCATTAACCCTGATGAACCTAATCGGTTGGGTACATTACAGGCTTGTCTTGAGGACAAAAAAATTGGAACGATTCTAAACTTTCTGCCTTTAAATCAAGACAAGACAGAAGTTCTCATCTTTGGACCAGAAATCCAGAAAAAGAAAGTGTGTGTGTGTGTGTGTGTGTGTGTGTGCTCTGTCTTCTCCATCCCCAGTGAGTCGTGGAGGATGGCTGCTTATACTGAGCCAGGATCCTCTGGAGGTTTCTTCCTGTCTAAAGGGAGTTTTCCTCTCCACTATCGCTGCATGCTTGCTTAGTATGAGGATTGCTGTAAAGACTCTGACACGAGTCAGTGACTTGATGCAATTTGCTGGGTTCCTTATAACTTTTTCCTGATTGGCTTAATGAACTGACCTGTACTGGAATGTTTACTATGAGGAGCGCCTTCAGACGGCTTGTTGTGATTTGGCGTTATATAAATAAACTTACTTGAATTGAATTCACACATGAAAGAGGGCTGGCATGAACCAGGGCATCCAACGTTGAACCATGAATCACATGAAGCGGTGGTGGAGATGCAGCGGACCTACTGCCTACACAGGATACACAAAATTTGATTGTAAACTAGTGAAATTATGACCTTCTGTGTAGCAGCGGTTCAGCGGGTAGAGTGGGTGGTCCAGTAATTGGAAGGTAGGATCAATCCCAGCAGGGAATGCTGCTGCTGTGTCCTTGGGTAAGACACTCAACCCACCTTGCCTGCTGGTGGTGGTCGGAGGGGTCGGTGACGTCAGTACTCAGCAGCCTCAACTCTGTCAGCGCGCCCCTGGGCAGCTGTCACTACACTGTAGCTCATCACCATCGGTGTGTGAATGTGTGTGTGCGTGGGTGAAGTGTAAAGCACTTTGGAGTCCTCTGACTTGGAAAGGTGCTACACAAGTGCAGATCATTTATCAGTTAATAATACGTAAAAGATTAGATTCACACACCACTGTTTATAGGACGGTGTACACTTGGGTCTACACACTGGGCCAGTTCTTTCTTTTTTACATGTGGTTCACAATCTGCAATTTGCAGAGACAAAATATTTTATATCATTCCATCCTTCCATCCATCCATTTTTATCTTTTAATCTGGGGTCGGGTCACGGGGGCAGCAGCCTAAGCAAGGAGGCCCAGACTTCCCTCTCCCCAGCCCAGTGGGCCAGCTCTTTCTGGGGAATCCCAAGGCGTTTCCTGGTCAGCCAAGAGACATAGTCCCCCAGCATGCCCTGGGTCTTCTCCTGGTTGGGCGTGCCTGAAAAACGTCACCATGGAGACATCCAGGATGCATCCTAACCAGATCCCCGAGCCACCTCTATCACCTTCAGTGTGGTGATGTCTGAGTCAGAAAAGCACTATACAGGTGCGGGTCATTTATCATCATCTAACCCTATCAAGGACAAATAATGTGTTAAGCTGAGCTCTCAAGATATACTTTGGAGTTATTACATGAATGCAGCACAGATTTGGTATGAAATAAAACATTCTTAGCTTAGATTAAAGGGGTGGAGGACTACCCGATAAACAAGAAGATCACATTTATTACATAGGTTCAGTCTAGATGAAAAACTGCATGACACTTTATATTTAGTTTGGTTTAAACTCTTTGTTTTTCACAAAAGGACCTTAGTTTTTATTCATTGAGATCAGAAAAGTACCAAATATGTCATAAGGTCTGATGTCCCAGTCTCTAGAACTCAGGTGTACAGGTAGCCATGCTGGACAGAGGCTGGGGAAACTGAACAACTTCTTGATACCAGCGTCTTCTAGATCTCCAACTGTACATGAAATAATTTACATATTTGCCACAGCATGTGTTCAGGCTGCTATTAATTCTCTGAATGTCATTTTGTACATTTGCATAAGTGATTGCATCAGTCAGTAGCACCCATATGTTCCACCTGTGCTACTTATGTAATAGTAGCAGGGGGGAGGGGGCTCAGAGACAGGAAAACTACTACTCGAGAGTTTTTATAAGGATTTGGGATGCAGACGTTTAGGCAGCATCACTTTCATGTATGAGATGTTGGTTGTTCGGATAAAACATTTTCAGTTAAATTATCATTAGGAGACACACACTGTGATATTTAAGGAGTGAAATAAAGTTCATAGGGTTTACAGAAAGGGTGCAATAGTTGTTTAAACAGAATTAGGCATGTGCATACATTTGGCCAAATTCAAACTCAATAGCTTTCTCCTTTTGCAGAAATAACAGATGTTTTCCCGGGTGAGCCCCTTTTAGGTTAAGTTAGGGGTAACCCACAGATAAATCTTCCCAAATCCATCCCATGCTGGGCCCATGCGGGGTTCCCTGTACCAGCCCAATGGATGTTTGCCCTTGTGGATTAGCTTTGATTATTTCTGTGGGCATCCCACAGTGGGGCCTGCCCAAAAACTATCCACAGTGGCCCCAGGAGTGTCGGACCCATGTGGGGAATCCAGGGGCCCACCCAGTTCAGTCCCTCTGTGTGATTTCTGTGGGTGACCCATGGTGAGATCTACCCCAAAACTACCCAGTGGTCCCTTTGGTGTCAGCCCCTTTGTCCTCCCAAATTAATTTCTTACAGTGATTTCTATGTGCCCAACAACTACCCACAGTGTGATTTTAACAGTTAAACTGGGCGCAGTGCTGGATTCGTCACATGGGCTGACATCAACAGGGCCAGTTTGGGTAGTTATGGCTGGATACAATTGTGGGATGCCCACAGAAATCACACTGAGGTATTAAGCTGGGCAGACTGCAGAATTCCACAAAGGCCACTGTGGGTAGTTTTTGGGCACATACCACTATTCAATTCAATTGAAGTTTATTTATAAAGCGCCGAAACACGACAAGCGCCGTCTCAAGGCACTTCTCATAGTAAACATTCTAATCCAGGTCAGTTCATTAAGCCAATCAGATAAAAGTTTCCTATATAAGGAACCCAGCAAATTGCATCGAGTCACTGACTCGTGTCAGAGTCTTTACAGCAATCCTCATACCAAGCAAGCATGCAGCGACAGTGGAGAGGAAAACTCCCTTTTAACAGGAAGAAACCTCCAGAGAATCCTGGCTCAGTATAAGCAGCCATCCTCCACGACTCACTGGGGATGGAGAAGACAGAGCAGACACACACACACACACACACACACACACAATAATGTGTCTATAGTTATATTGTGATTTCTTAGTAAATATTCTATTTGGTGAAAGATAAACTTTATTGTATTTATCCTAGTGGATCTATAATTAAACGGGTAAACTAGTAGTAGCACATCCAACATCAAAGAGAGTAAAAAGTGTTATTATCAGGAGAGGGAGAATGTTTAAGTGGTTAGCAGCAGTGTGCTAGACGATGGCCCCCTCCATGAGGCCACCACAGCTCAGCAGAACATCACTGTAGCTTCTTCTGGGAGAAAGGCCCTGTCATTAGCCGGGGTGAGTACTCCTCTCATTTTCCCATCCTTCAGTTGTGTGTTTCAGGAGAGGGAGGCTCCAGCTGCAGCTGATTTGCAATCAGCGGGTCCGGCTACAAAGGGAGGATGGAGGACACTCGACGCCGGATGATTACAACAGCTTGGTAGTTTCCTGCGCTCTTGCAACTCTTGGATTTTGTGCTCTAGTGTTTCTAGAACTTGTTTTGTGAACCTTTGGATCTTTTCCCTGTGCTTACCCGTTACCAGGTTTTGGAACGTTTTTGGATTTCTGCGACTTCTCAGGATTACTCACCTGTACCCCACAGGATTTCCGGACGCAGCTCTCACCGTTCTCCATTCCTCCCGGCCGGCCCGCTCTCCTGCTCTCCTCTCGCCCCCTCTCCTGGACACCCCACTTGGATTCACCCCAGCACCCAAACTACCCTCCCTCATTTCCTACGCTCCCCTACTCCCAGTAAGTCTATTCTCTGCACCCACCAAGGTTAGACTTACCTTCCTGGACTCACCTGTATCTGTGCTCCCCTCCTCCGACGCTGCGCTCCAGAAGTTTGCAGCCGCAAACGAAACGTTGCAGGTAAATAAAACCTTTGTGTTTTAAAAAGAACTAAAAGATGGAATTAAAATTTCAACACAGCAAGAACACACCAAAGATGTTTAAAGGAAAATACGGACGACGAGGTAGAAAGTTTCCGTGTAAACTGTGGAAAGCTGATGAAGAGGGAACAGGTGTGCTGAGACGGGAGCTGAGGGAAAACCTGAAGACTCAAAGGGTGAATGGAGCAGGACAGTTACACAGAAAAACATCAATAGTACTCAGTCTTTTTGTGGAGATTGTATATTTCCAAAAATATATGTACAGTCTATTACAAAGATTACAAATCAAAAAGGATCATCTATGCAACAAGAAACTGTCTAATGAAACAGTTCAGCTGTTGGAGAACATACCTATGACCAGTGAATATCGTCAATACCTTCATCACAGAAAAATAAATAATGAGTCAACGTTTTTATTACTGTACAACAAACTAAAGGCAAAACGAAAACAAGGTTAAGACTCTAGATGGGAATCCTACCGACTGTCTTTGGTCCTAAATGAAAACGTATGTACAACAGAAATCTTGTGTGTGACAATAGTTCCTCTGTCAAATACAAAAATATAGTGCAATGTATTCAGAGCTCTCTATTGAGTAACAGGTATAAAAAAACTAATATAAATAAAAATGTACAAGTTTTACAGTTAGAACACACAAAGATCCCTAAACCTCGGCTCTTTCTGACGCAACTGACTGTGCTGCAGTCTCTGGAAGTATCCTCAACCCGACCAATGGCTGAACCTCTCGGTTTGAAAAATAACTTCATATTCTGCCTTTCATAATGCAATCCATCATGTTCTAACCAGCAGGCTTCTGTTTTTTACTTAGTTTCTAAAATTTGCTGAAGCGAAGCCACAACAGAACCTCTTGTATTCCAGAGCTGAGCTACCTGATGTAGACAATGCCGGTGAAGCTAAGTGAAGCCGACGGCCGCGCGGCGGGGAAAGTTGCAGGTTGTTCGGACGCTGAATCGATTGTACCCTGGCGTTAATCTCAATTTGGCTTGAACTATGGCCTCCCCAGAAAACATAAAACAATGCAGCAAAGGGAGCGGAGGGACTCTGCCCTTGGGAGAGAGGGTCTCATCTTGGGCCCAGTTACAAAATCCAAGCCTCCAAGGGATTGTGGGTGAGACGGAGCGCTGCTGTGGGCCGTGCTGTTTTGTGCTGACTGAATGACTTCATGCCTGTATTCAATTCAAAGGGTTGGCCAAGAGCCAAATGCTGAGCTCTGCTGTATGGGTGGGGTTGGGGGGGTGCTGGCCAGGGCTAATTCCTGGTGTCTCTCTAAAGGTGAGTCCCACAGTAAATGAAACCCGAGCTACAGTAAAGCCAAGGTCCTGCTGTTTTCTAGGTTTATGATTAAAGAGGCGTTCCTCGTTCTTCATCGGTCTGGCACAGCGATCCCATTTGTCTTCATTATTTATTAGTTTAGTGTTTCCAGATCAGCTCCTCTATCTGGCAGGCTTCTCTATGAGCACACATGCTACCACTAGCATGTCCTCCTCTCTCAGGAATGAATTTATAGTAAATGAAACTCAGTCCGAGTCGTGTCGTGAGTCTGAGTCCTGATTTAACTGTGAGGCTTTGGTTTCCTAAACTTCAGATGAAGAGCAGAACCAGCCAGAGATGAACCTGAGTGGAGGTAACGGACCTGTTCTGTTTCATTTGGGATCGGAACGATGTTGAATGCAACAGCACCGCTCCCGTTAAGGACAGGTGTTGTTTTCCAGATCGCACATTAAAATCCTGGTGAACGAGGAAAAAGCTGCTTCTGGTCCACTCCGGGTTCATTACCATCTAAGCAGCGGTTCTGGAGGGTTTCTGACCTAAAGTGGTGCTGCGGAAGGAGGCAAAAGAGAAATGAAAACGGGGGTTTCTACCCAAATGGTTCCAGCACCAGAGCTGGTTCTGAACCGGTTCTAAACATTTGATCCTCCCTCTCATGGTGATCCCAGGGCAGAAGGACAGCTTGTCTCCATTAGGGTCGTCACGGTGTGAAAATCTAACCTCGCGGTTATTGTGACCAAAATTTTCACGGTTTTCGGTATTATCGTGGTATTTTTTTAAACGTGCTACATTTTCAGACAATTAAATAAACCCTGTATGTCAGGAAAATATTGTCCTCAGTTTGCGTCTAAATTTAGCCTAAAATGTGTTATTTTGTAATTATGTTGTTTATTTGTTTACATTTTTCCCCTTTAGTCTTTAAAATACCAATATTTGCCCATAACTTCTTATTTTATGTCTGTTTGATGTCATCATTTTAAAAATATTAGATCAGATGATACTCAGTACTCGAGTAGCCTTCTAATCAGATACTTTTTTACCCTTACTTGAGTAATAAACCCTATATCAGGAGAATATTGTCCTCGGTTTGTGTCCTTCCATTGAGCTTTGCAGATGTGGGAAAATGTCATCAGGCAGTAATCGTTGTTAAATTCATAATTATTCTCGGAGAGAGACCAACTCTTATCTGCCCCTGGGAGCCCCGTAATGCATAGCGTCATTTCAACATGGCGGTGTCCGCAACACGGTTTATATGCAGGTAGCGGCGCTGCGGCTGCTTTATATAGCGACTCGTTGCGTTCTCCCTCAACCCAAATCCTCGGATCACGCATTTTAGCTAAAACGCTAACGTTAGCTTGCCTTGCGTTGACTGTAGAGTTGTGGGTGATGGTCACGCAGATGTGTCATGAGATTTGAAGCGTTGCTGCCTTTCACAGACACTTTTTCTGCACGTGCTGCAAACAGGATAGCCGTCTTCTATCAGCTGTCCCTCGGCATTCTTCACATATCCTAAAGATGCCCGTACTTCCCACTTTGTCTTCTTAGAGGGATAATAAATGTCCTGAGCGCTGCCGTCTCCTCCTTTGGCCATTATTTCAGCTTTAGCTTCAAGAAAGTTTTGGTTGTAAACAACAAAGTGCGCATGTGCCGCCGGCAACTTCAGCAGATGATACGGTGGCTGGTAAGGGTCACCGCGCCTACACCGCAGCCACGGTAATCCACCGAGATAATATAGTTTCTTAAAAACAAGACGGTTATTATTATTGTCAACGTTTTGACCGCTGTTTACCGCTACACCGGTTACCGTGACAACCCTAGTCTACATTTAGTTCATTTAAAATGACGACCAGTACATGATTCCATCAGATGAAGAACTCTGAAGAGTTTTGTTTTCTTTCTCTGGTGTGAACCAACATGTTTAAGCCAAATGTTCGACATCTGCTCCACTCCTGCATCCCTGAGACGTCTCTCTAGCAGCAGCGGTGCATTCCTCAAACTTCTGCTTCAGGGAATTCTGACTCCTTGTGAGGAACCTAGGTACTGCAGGAGATGAGAGCCCTTTTGCTGTTACTGTTGGAAAATGGGGGATGGGTACTGGGATAGCACTGGTTTAGGTATACTGGAGTGGGTATAAGGACAGCACTGGTTTAGGCATACTGGAGTGGGTACTGGGATAGCACTGGTGTTAGGTATACTGGAGTGGGTACTGGGATAGCACTGGTGTTAGGTATACTGGAGTGGGTACTGGGATTGCACTGGTTTAGGCATACTGGAGTGGGTACTGGGATAGCACTGGTTTAGGCATACTGGAGTGGGTACTGGGATTGCACTGGTTTAGGCATACTGGAGTGGGTACTGGGATAGCACTGGTTTAGGTATACTGGAGTGGGTATAAGGATAGCACTGGTTTAGGTATACTGGAGTGGGTATAAGGACAGCACTGGTTTAGGCATACTGGAGTGGGTACTGGGATAGCACTGGTGTTAGGTATACTGGAGTGGGTACTGGGATAGCACTGGTGTTAGGTATACTGGAGTGGGTACTGGGATTGCACTGGTTTAGGCATACTGGAGTGGGTACTGGGATAGCACTGGTTTAGGCATACTGGAGTGGGTACTGGGATTGCACTGGTTTAGGCATACTGGAGTGGGTACTGGGATAGTACTGGTTTAGGCATACTGGAGTGGGTACTGGGATAGCACTGGTGTTAGGTATACTGGAGTGGGTACTGGGATTGCACTGGTTTAGGCATACTGGAGTGGGTACTGGGATTGCACTGGTTTAGGCGTACAGGAGTGGGTACTAGGATAGCACTGGTTTAGGTATACTGGAGTGGGTATGAGGATAGCACTGGTTTAGGTATACTGGAGTGGGTATAAGGATAGCACTGGTTTAGGTATACTGGAGTGGGTTTAAGGATAGCACTGGTTTAAGAATACTGGAGTGGGTACTGGGATAGTACTGGTTTAGGTATACTGGAGTGGGTTTAAGGATAGCACTGGTTTAGGCATACTGGAGTGGGTACTGGGATAGTACTGGTTTAGGTATACTGGAGTGGGTGTAAGGATAGCACTGGTTTAGGCATACTGGATTGGGTTTAAGGATAGCACTGCTTTAGGCATACTGGAGTGGGTACTGGGATAGTACTGGCTTAGGTATACTGGAGTGGGTATAAGGATAGCACTAGTTTAGGTATACTGGAGTGGGTACTGGGATAGTACTGGTTTAGGTATACTGGAGTGGGTGTAAGGATAGCACTGGTTTATGCATACTGGAGTGGGTTTAAGGATAGCACTGCTTTAGGCATACTGGAGTGGGTACTGGGATAGTACTGGCTTAGGTATACTGGAGTGGGTATAAGGATAGCACTAGTTTAGGTATACTGGAGTGGGTATAAGGATAGCACTGGTTTAGGCATACTGGAGTGGGTTTAAGGATAGCACTGCTTTAGGCATACTGGAGTGGGTACTGGGATAGTACTGGTTTAAGTATACTGGAGTGGATGTAAGGATAGCACTAGTTTAGGTATACTGGAGTGGGTATAAGGATAGCACTGGTTTAGGTATACTGGAGTGGATGTAAGGATAGCACTGGTTTAGGCAAACTGGAGTGGGTACTGGGATAGTACTGGTTTAGGTATACTGGAGTGGGTATAAGGATCGCACTGGTTTAGGTATACTGGAGTGGGTATAAGGATAGCACTGGTTTAGGCATACTGGAGTGGATGTAAGGATAGCACTGGTTTAGGCATACTGGAGTGGGTTTAAGGATAGCACTGGTTTAGGTATACTGGAGTGGATGTAAGGATAGCACTGGTTTAGGCATACTGGAGTGGGTACTGGGATAGTACTGGTTTAGGTATACTGGAGTGGGTGTAAGGATAGCACTGGTTTAGGCATACTGGAGTGGGTTTAAGGATAGCACTGGTTTAGGCATACTGGAGTGGGTACTGGGATAGTACTGGTTTAGGTATACTGGAGTGGGTGTAAGGATAGCACTGGTTTAGGTATACTGGAGTGGGTGTAAGGATAGCACTGGTTTAGGTATACTGGAGTGGATGTAAGGATAGCACTGGTTTAGGCATACTGGAGTGGGTACTGGGATAATACTGGTTTAGGTATACTGGAGTGGGTGTAAGGATAGCACTGGTTTAGGTATACTGGAGTGGGTATAAGGATAGCACTGGTTTAGGCATACTGGAGTGGGTATTGGGATAGTACTGGTTTAGGTATACTGGAGTGGGTACTGGGATCGCACTGGTTTAGGTATACTGGAGTGGGTATAAGGATAGCACTGGTTTAGACATACTGGAGTGGGTACTGGGATAGCACTGGTTTAGCTATACTGGAGTGGGTATAAGGATAGCATTGGTTTAGGGATACTGGAGTGGGTACTGGGATCGCACTGGTTTAGGTATACTGGAGTGGGTATAAGGATAGCACTGGTTTAGACATACTGGAGTGGGTACTGGGATCGCACTGGTTTAGGTATACTGGAGTGGGTACTGGGATAGCACTGGTTTAGGTATACTGGAGTGGGTATAAGGATAGCACTGGTTTAGACATACTGGAGTGGGTACTGGGATAGCACTGGTTTAGGTATACTGGAGTGGGTATAAGGATAGCATTGGTTTAGGTATACTGGAGTGGGTACTGGGATAGCACTGGTTTAGGTATACTGGAGTGGGTATAAGGATAGCACTGGTTTAGGTATACTGGAGTGGGTACTGGGATAGCACTGGTTTAGGTATACTGGAGTGGGTACTGGGATAGCACTGGTTTAGGTATACTGGAGTGGGTACTGGGATAGAACTGGTTTAGGTATACTGGAGTGGGTACTGGGATAGAACTGGTTTAGGTATACTGGACGAGTGCTACAGGCAGATGGAGCAGAAGGAGCTGATGTCGAGCCATTCCAGCATCGGAACCAGATTGGTAGAAACCCCCCCAGAGGAAGCTGCAAATGTTTTCACTTCCTGTTTTTGAGCTCAAGGTTGACTCCTGATGTTTCTGCACTGAAGGTGAAACCAAAGTGACGGCAGCTTTAAAATGTTGACTTGTCTCTGAGGTTACAGCAGCAATGAAAAAAATTACAGTTTTCTTCTGCAAGCACCGTCACATGAGAGCTGAATAAATTACTTTACTTATCAAAGAAAACGACACAAACATATGCAGCAAACATGGAGACTTCTCTTCTAGAAGTGGAGGCAGATGGCACCAAAGAAGTCAACCGGCTTTAAGCAAGGTCCCCTCATCTCTGTTCTCTGCACACAGTCACACGGCAGAAAAGAGGAGCAGACTTTAATGCATGTTCCGTCACATCTTGGCCTGTGAAGGATGAGCAGCGGAGCCGCATGAATAAACAAGAGGAGCTGCGTGGCTGCCTACAGAGCCAGAACGGAGGAATTTAACAGCACAATCTGCGCCTGATGCAGGCTCCGTCCTCTGCTCCTGTGTTTTCATGCCCAAACACTGAAGCGAATCTTTGATTTCTGGGTGGCGCAATGTGTCGTAAGATGATGTGAGCATGGCTAATTGGCACCTTTCTAGAGTTTCAAACGGTGCCACTTTCATCTGCACAGCCACTCAGTCCAACATTTCCATGCCGTGTTAGATTTTCATCGAATCTTTTGCACATCACAGAGGCAAAATACAACAGGACTGTTTCATCTGATGACTGCGAGGCAGTCTTCTGAGCACGCTCTAAACCTTTTCAGGTCGCAGAGGTACGTTCCTCCCCCGTCTGATGGTGACTACACCTTTACAAACATGGACACACGTGCACCCTACCTAGCACCTTTAAGAAACTCAGGTGAGGACCAATTCTCCCTGGTAATTATTGCTCTTTTAAGTCAATCTCTTCCCGTGTTAAACTCTCTGTGCACATCCGATCAAGTTCAGAGAAGAAGACATCGCGCTACAAGGAGAGGGAAAAAAGCATTGCAATAGCATGACCTAAAAAAGTGGTGACACTTCATCTAAACATCTTTAAGGCAGTATTATATCTACTCTCTAAGATCCACTCAAACATCATCTGCAGCTGAACAACTCAACGGAACAAACTGTGTGCAACGCTTTAGGCAAACCCAAATGCAGTGGCTGCACTTTCATACAATCTTTGAACTGTGCTGACGCGTTCTAATCGATGCCTACGTCCTGACGCTCTGTGCTGTGGTGAACTCTAAGACAAAGGATATTGCTACTTCAATATAAAAGTCCGGAGTTTAGAAGAACCATTCGCCCCCCGCATCTCCTCGGTGCTGCACTCGTGCAAATTCCTGGATGAAAGCTCCAGGACAAAGTCAAATCCCCACTGTGGTGCACCCAAAACAAGCAGATGATGCACGGAGAGAAAAGTATTCAAATCACTGCAAACGAGTCACACGGTCCAGAACAAGTCAGCACAAGCAGTAGCAGAAGATCTACACCCCAGAACGTCCATCTGCCGTTTCCACGGGCTACCCTGTCGTCACGTCCAGAGGAGAAAAAGCAGCTCCACATTGTCTCCCTGTGGCAAGCACGAAGAAAGTAGAAAATCCATGAAACCAAAGCGAGTAAACACGTTTTCTCTCCTGTGTACGGAGCACCCGCAGCCATAGAGTGCAGTTCAACCCCTCATTCAGGTAAGGAAGCTCCTTTTCATCACGCCTGTTGATATGTGGTAAGAGAGAAGAGTCATCTTGTCCAGGTAGTTGCTTTTGCGTTGCCCTTTTCCTCTCCTCAGAGCCTTCTGCAGAGACGGACCTACGTCCCTCAATGAGGGACAGAGGGATGGTTCCACTCCAGATGCAGCAGCAGGAGTCAGACGCAGCAGGTGACCGGAGCGCCGGGCGCGCCTGAGGCGCCGCTACGGCTAAGTTCTGCTTCTGTGTTTCTGCCCTGACAAGGCGGGTCGTCACACCTGGACTCCTGTACCGTGGAGATGCAGCATCTGGGCTCTCATAGTCTGTATGCTGCTCATTATCTTTTTCTGATGGCCGACGAGTGTGATCCCCAGGCTCATCACGTCCCTGGAAGAGACAACACATCAGTCAGGAGACGGTTGGTGGACTTCTCAGCAGAGCGACGCTAAAACGTTGCGTTACTCATGTTCTAAAGGTCTGATGGGCTTTTACACTCTGTGGTGTCTACCGGAGCTGATACCAGTGTTTGTAAACATCAAACAAGCCTAAAGCATTCAACATGATGGAGGGGCGGGGCTTACAGATGCTACAGGAAGCAGCCGCTGAGGTTTCGTTTTGTTGAAGGGCTCAAAAAGTAAAACAAGACGTGTTGTTTTGTGTAGCCAAACGAGTTTATTTAACACAACCGAGTCATTAGTGAGCTTCCAGGGCTCAGTGTGAGGATAAAACCAGAGATAAGGGCTGCCCCAAGTTCAACCGACCGTTCTGAGCAAAACAGGAACACGGTGGTGTAAACTAAGGTCCTTTTAGACCCAACCTAAGGGTGATCGAAGCGTGGGGGACACTAGCATTCATGACAAACACTCGGCTAACAGTGGCTCCTACAGCACTCTGCTAAAAGGATGAGGATTAAGTGGCAGCTCAGCTTCTCTGGGCTGTTCTGCTGAGCCAGGAGGAAAGAAACACGCTTTCTGTTTCCAGATTAAACAGTTTTCTAGTGAAGGAGATGTCAGAGGAGTAGTGAAGTGGGCGTAACTCCCGTTGAACTGCGGAAAAGTCTAAACTTTCCCAACTTTAGCGTGGAAATAAGGCAGAGCAGGAAAAAGAGCGGCCTCGGATCACATCTAAGTGTCTGCAGCTTGGGTGAATGAAGCATGCTTTCAGGAATGCCACTGCATGCCACTGAGATGATGTGGTTGGTTATAATTCTGTGCCACCAAGAGGCTTCATATCCACTTACTCTATTGACATCCTGGCCACAGACTCTAAGGAACTGTAGCCAGCTGCTGTGAAGTTGTCTCTGTATCGCTCCATCTTGACGGCTTCCAGCCACTCTCCCACCGAGCGGAAAGCGGCGAAGTCTGGTGTGCTCTGATCTAACAGCGGGCTGATTGGTCTGCAGGATGAGCACAGAGAGACATTTATGTCTTATGTGAAGAGGAAGCCTTCCGCTGAAATTACAATCAAGCAAGAGGCGAGACAAAGCAACGACCAAAGGCCTCCAGCAGGGCGCTAAATTGAGAAGAGGAGAGGAAAAAGTGCTATTTGGAGACTTCGATCCAACAGAAACTCATAAGTGGAAGCAGCCAATCAGCATGCACTTGTGAATCATATTTTTGTCAATACTTTTCATTTCTCAGCACATGCCCTGCTGTCTCTGTAGCATAAAAGGCTGCTTAACCAAGCTGTAACCTCTGAGATCCATCCCACCTCAGGAATGGACGTCCTGACTGCAAATAGAACTCATCTGACAAACGTCGGAGCGAGGGCCGGCGCTCCCGCCGCTCTCACGAGTACGAGCAACTCATTATAGAGATTGATTTAAAAGCCCCGTTATTGGCCGTAGAGCCTTGTGGAGGCCGCTTTGGGGAATCAATTCCTCAGGAATTATCTTTCATCTCTGCACTAGAGAGGCTGAATCATCCACTGAACACTTTAGATAATCCATTAATGCACCATAATAAAAGAAGAAATTCTTTATTGTAAGAGTCCACATTTGAAAATGATCCATTTGAGGTTTTATTTCCGTACCTTGTACATGTTCCCACCGGGGTTTTTAAGGTGTTAGGGTTGCGGATCATTTTATCAAGGACGCCAACTATCTGATCAAACTTGGGACGCTCAGCTCGGTCTTTCTGCCAGCAGTCCAACATCAGCTGGTGCAGCCCTGGAGGACAGTCCATGGGGGCTGGAAGACGGTAGCCTTCTTCTATGGCCTTTATGACCTGGGGAACAGAGAAGGATGCTTTAATTAGCACAGTCACCCTGACAACGCCACCCGAACCCTTTGACATCAGTAAAGCCACCATGGTACCCCTGCTTCACACTGGAGGCATCGGTCTGCAGGGGTGATTCAAACCAGCCGGCATGCGGAAATGTTCAGATGTGTCCCAGAAGCGCCGCGCCGCTAAAACGTTATCAGGTTCTACGTTTACCATGGGCTGCTTCTGGGACACGACCCTTTCTGCAGTTAACGTGGGCTAGACAGGACATCACACGGTTTCAGTGGAAAACGTCAATCAATCAATACTTTATTAATCCCAGAGGGAAATTAGAGTTTCAGTACACACACTTCAGAGGTCAGACATACATAGGCAAGACACATGACAAGAATTGGTGACTGTGGTCATTCGCAACTCTGAGTCGCGCTACCTTAATAGAGATAAGAGGGTTACATGAGGATTGGTTCAGGTGGAGGGAAAAAGAGGCACTTCAGATCTTGTGAGAAGCAAAGAGTACATTAACTCCTACAGATTGATGACCTCGCCAGGCTGAAGTCCACCAATCCGAAGGCAGGGGGGGGGTTCGGGTTTTCACAGCATCTGTCTGCATTCTTTCGTGGGGGTTTTAGTTGCTTGCAGCTCAAGGCTACCAGGGCGTCAGATACAGATAACAAGAATTTGTTTGGGTCAGGCTGAGATAATTTTCCTCTCTGCCTTCAGTCTTTAAACTGATCATTCCAGTCCTTCAGTGAAGCCAAATTTGGGTTTTTAAACCTGTCCATACCGTCCGGTGACTCTCTCCGAGATGACATCCATTTTGCGCACTAATACCGGTATCGCAGCTAGAATATTGTCCAGCATACGATTCACCTCAAGAAACGTCCCGGTCTGAGAAGTCTCCACACGGACGGTGCTTTCCGTGGGTGCGGGTCGCCCTCCAATCGCTCCCGTCTTCCCAAATTTCCAGAAAACCAGATATCCTCCCACTCCAATCAGGAGAAATCCAGTGATCATCAGACCGAATATCCACACGTCTTCGACGTCCTCAAGGACAGCTGGGAGAGGCATACGATCTTCCACTCCTTCCAGGAATCCAGCATATACCCCGCCGGGTGTGTCCCCTGTGGACATGTGGGAGCTCCCTGCTCCGTTCTCATTGTTGAAAAAATCTTATTGATCACATTGAATGACCAGTTTATCAAATCCATGGTTAAAAATAGAGTTTTTCAGAAGAAATGCAGAGAAGCGCTCTCTGGGCAGACAGGACAAAGAGCCTTGGGAAAAAAGATAAGGGAGCGAAAAGAGAAGCGTCTGTACTCTGCGAGTGCCAGAAGAAAAAGGTTTGGTACTTTTCAAAATAAAAGACTACCGCACTCCTTTCATATCTATGTAGATTACATCAATGAGTTTAACATCGGATGGCAGAAACAAACCGTGACCTTTGAGGTTAGGGTTAGGGAGAGAGGCCGCTCTGCAGGTGAGATTCTCCCGGTGTGAGCTGGAATGCAGCGAAGCTCGCCAGTCAGCCGTTTGGCACCGCTGATGCATCCAGAGTGAAGTAGAGGAGAGTGTCGCTCCCTGGTTTAGTGTGTTAAAGGATTATAAATAAGGGACTGCTTCTCTGAACAGCCTGTTCAGAGAAGCCCAAGCTCACAAGCTAACAGCTAGCTAGCCAACTGAAGCTCAACTGTCCTGGCAACGAGTCACAAAAAGCACAGACCGAGCGTGTTTCTGCGGCTAGCATCACCGCGACCAATGCTTACATGATCCGGGGCGTGCAGATGTAAGGAGGTGTGTCTAAGCTTATGACACGTTAAAGCAGCCTTCTCAGAACAAAGCGGCCATTACAACATTGCTGATTAGCACAGGAGAGCAGGTCGGAGGTAAAGGTGGTTCTGAATCATTGAAACTTTTACGGTTTCCCAAAACCCAGGTCGTTAGAAGACATGGGGTCGTGTATGTCCGACGACTGAGCTTCGGTAACGTTTGCTGCTGTGGTCCTGAGTCTGTCGGGAGCAGCGGAGGCGGACAGGATGGAGCGACGGTGCGTAACAACAGCATCGCGCATCAACACTAGTTATTTCATTTGGTCTGCTATGACCTTGTGGAGATGCGTTAGTGGATTTCCAGCTTCTGCTCATTTGTCTTTATTTCCTTTAATCATCTCATTGTGACTCCACGTCGAGCATCAGCAGCTAAGCTATCAACAAACTTTCATTTCATGGCCACAGTGCTTTATTTGATGTATTCAGCCCAGGCATTCCTCCAACATCACAGCCCTTTTTGTTCCTGCTGACCCTGAAAACACACTTTTCCTGTGTCTGCCTCTCCTAACGGGGCTCAGACAGACGGCCCTGCAGCTGGGCTTTAAAGCAGCTCTCACAGAGGTGCATCCTGCCACACACACCGCGTCGCTCTTTATTGGCTCACTCTGGGTTCTGGAATGGATCATCAGATGCTGGAGTAAACCTTTACAGTCAAACACGCGTGCTTGCTGCAGTCGTGTGTGGACGTTGTCACCATTTTAGCACAGAGATGATTAAAAGTCAGAGCTGTGAGAACACGAGGTGCAGCAGGCTGCCCTGTTGCTGCGGTGGAGGGAAGGAGCTGTGCACTTCTCTGCAGATTCCCATCAGATATTCCCATCAGGACGGCTCAGAGACAGAGCACAGGGAAGGGGCGGCAGTGCACTGAAAGCACTGGGAAACATGCAAACAATGTTCTTCCTGAATCCCCGCAGGATGTTTGCTGACATCTTGACAAAGCAGAAAAAAGTCTGATGTCTGTCGACTAGCAGAGCTGTCTGGTTTAGCTTTTCTAACAAGCGATTGTTCAATCAGCAGAGTTCTGCACGAGAGAGACGGAGAATCTTAATCGTGTTCAGCCGTGATGCCGTGGGTGATAGACACGAGAGTCTGTCAGCCTCCACCGTCAATCAGAACGTGTCGAGAGTCCGGGAGCGAGGAGCAGGCTGGAGTGGTCTGGCACAGCTGGACTCTGCAGAAGCAGCAGCCCTGAGAGGAGCACGGTGACTTCATCGTTTTTGTGACTTTTAGAAAAAGAAACAAACAAAGGCGTTTGGAAGAAAGGCGGAACTGCATCTGTTGGTTTTCCCAGATAGAGGAGAAGGAGGATTCTTAACGAGGTCGCGTGTTTAGCAGCTCGGTGTGAACCCTAACTCTTTACAGCGCTGTGAGCTTTGGTAACATCTGCACGAAGCCTCCACCCAGCACACGTCCTCTAGGACTTTACTGGTGTGAAGATGCTGCAGCTGTGGGAGCATCTTTTAAATGAACCGTATTTGAAGCTTCCCTGCGCTTCTCTTAAAGTGACAGCAATACTTCCATCGTTATTACTTTGGGGATGCAGCAACAGACCGATGCTGCTGACGCGAGTTTCTACATACCAGAATATTTTTGCTGAGACTTTTCTGTTTAAAGGCATCTAAAGGAGAGATTGAAGTGATGTGCACCTGATGAGAAGGTCTGCGGCAGCTCCATAACGCTGTGGAGAGGGCTGGTTTTGCTGTAAAGAGGGGCTGATGCTGCTCATGCAGCTAAAAAGACGCCCGCCCTGTTTAACATGGAGTTGTAGGACACAGGACTCAATAAATCTGAACTGGTCCCAGTTCAGACGGACTCCAGCGCCGTACACTGAAGCTGTGTGAAAATGAGTTCAGGCTCAGAATCTTCCAGCGTCTAGCGACCAGCCGCAGCGTGCTGGCCTGGAGGCGACCGGTGTGCGTTAACGCAATGTCTACAATACCCTCAGCAGCGCGGATCAGGTTCCTCTGGCCTCTAGAACAAGAGCCAGTGGAGATGTTAACCCATAATGGTGCAGCATGGTAGCCACAGCCAGCCAGCTGCACGGTGGTGGAAGGCTGGTGGTGTGGGCTTGTGCAGTCACAAATGTCTTCTAGGAATGGAAGTGAGTCTCGCTGTCTGACAGCTGAGGTTTGGGCAAAACCAGCTCATGAAACAGAACCATGACCCAGAACCAGCAGCAGATCTATGGCAGAACGACTGGAACGGAAAACCAAGGTCCTGCAACGGTCCTGTCAGAGTCCAGACGGAGGTGCTGTGGTGGAACCATCAGAGAGAAGAGCAGGAGCCTCTTTATGAAGAAGAGTGGACAAGAACTCCTCTAGAACCAAGAGAGAGGTGGATTTTACCACACACACACACACACACACACACACACCGGTGACAGCAGCTAGAACAGTGGCCCACAGCGACACCGCTCCCAGCTTGAGGGTGCAGGAGCATGAAGTGAGATGCTCGCTTCTGGCTGTCAACCCCAGGAGGGCGGCTGGTCCTGACGGCATATCGGGATGTGAGCTGAGGGACTGCGCAGAACCACTGGCTGGGGTTGTCACAAAGATCTTCAACTTGTCATTGTCCCTGGCCTCGGTCCCACACTGTCTGAACTCCTCCACCATTGTCCCCTTACCAAAAAATCACCTGTAACCTGTATGAATGACCTGTAGCACTCACTCCAGTCCTGATGAAGTGCTTCGAAAGACAGGTCCAGAGTCAGACCATGCCTTCATCCCTCCCATCTTTGATCCTCATCACTTGCATACCGAGCTATCAGGTCTACTGAGGATGCTGTAGCTGTTGGTCTTCATGCTACTCCGTCCCACTTGCAGCATCATGGGAACCACACTAGCCTCCTCTTGGTTGATTCCAGCAGTGCCTTCAGCACTGTCCTCCCAGACAGACTGGTGTGCAAACTGTCAGACTGGGACTCCCTACCCCACCTGTCTTTGGATAAAGGACTTCCTGACAGATCGTAAACACAGGGGCAGGGTGGGCCCCCACATTTCCTCAGCTCTCACTGTTAGCACTGGCTCCCCCCAGGGCTGTGTACTGAGCCCCCTGCTCTTTACGTTGTACACCCACGACCGTGCACCCGTTCCTAACAGCAACATCACTGTGAAATTTGCAGATGACACCACTGTGGTGGAGCTCATATCGGAGGGAGAAGAGTCTGCCTATAGGCACGAAGTGCAGCGGCTGACAGCGTGGTGCACGAGAACAACCTGCTCCTGAACACCGCAAAGACAGAAGGAATTGTTGTGGATTTCAGGAAAAAGAAAACGGATATCAGTCCACTCTTCATCAACGGGGACTGCGTGGAGAGGGCCGCCTCCTGGGTGTACGCATCACAGATGACCTGTCCTGGGGTGTGAACACAACAGCGGGTCCTCGGGAAGAACATCACCTCACATAAACTGCTGGTGTCCTTCTCTCGCTGCTCCATAGAGAGCATCTTGTGCTACTGCTTCTGCGCGTGGTGCGCTAGCTGCACGTCAGCACAGAGGAAATCGCTCCAGAGGATCGTGGAGACGGCCCCGTTGTCTTCTCTGGACGAACTACACAATGTTCGCTGCCTCAGGAGAGCACCCTAAAAGATCCCTCACACCCTGCTCATGATGTGCAGGGTGTGAGGGATAACCTGTTTATATCACCAGTCAAATATTAAAGGTTCAATAATATTAATAATCTATGTATATGGAATAATTAGGGATGGGTACCGAATTCGGTACTTTTTAAGGTACCGACCGAATTCCACAGTACCGACCGAGCACCGATTCAACGTCATTTGAAACGGTGCGTCGTTTCGGTACCCGTCCTTCATAACGAGAACTTGCCAAGACAGCTGCACATGTGCAAGAGCGTTATGTCGTCGGTCGCTGCGATCCAGTTGTAAACAGAGCAGCATGGTAGAAAGAACGCACGCTAAAGCTTGGGTCCACTTCACTAAATGTGTTGGGTAACTGGGTGATGATGAATCCAGCGACAACGATCTAAGTGAGACATCCTCATCTTAATCTGCTCCAGTAGGTAAATAAAATGTTTAAGATAACGTTAGCTTGATTTGTTAGCTTCCGTTTCGCTAATGGTGCATTCGCTTTCTCCTCGGAACTCCGAATTTCTGACTAGAAGAACATGAACGCGCTCTAAAGTTTGGCTTCACTTTACTAAATGCGACGGGTGACTGGGTGAAGATGAAACCAGCGACAGCGATCTAAGTGTGAGGCATCATCGTTTTAATCTGCTCCAGCAGCTAAATAAACTGTTTAAGATAACGTTAGCTTGATATGTTAGCTTCCATTGCCACCGTTGTTATCAGCTAATGGTGCGTTCGCTTTCTCCTGGGAAATTCTAACTTCCCAGTAGGAAAAATCAAAAGAAAAAAGACAGCAAAAGGAATGAAGATACACAGTAAATTTAGTTCACAGTAAAGATGTTTGCTTCAGTTTAATTATCAGCTTATAAAACTACAAGGACGATGTTAAAATACAAACAGTTGTATGTTATTTATCGTGATATTTATCAAATATTGTTATATATTGAGAAAAATATATATTTTATTATAAAAGAGAATTAAAATATTAAACACTCAAAAGTATCGAAAATTGGTACCGTTAAGTACCGGTATCGATTCCTAGGTACCGGGAATTAGTACCGGATCGATTCAAATCTCAAAGGTACCCATCCCTGGGAATAATACATTTTGAATACCTTTATATTCTATTAGCAATTTACCAAAAGTAACCGCTTAGAAAATGTCACACACACACACACACACACACACACACACACAGCTGATTTGGCTCCTTGATGTGCAGAGCCCAGATCTTCTCTTCCCACCGCTGTACGTCGTTGACGTTTACAGACGTTTAGACCGTTATGACAAGAGTTGTTTACTTTAACAACCACCTTCTGATGGCCGCCCCAGTCCGGGGCGGTTTCTCCTTCTCGTGGATTCAGACTGTGTGATTACAGCCAGACTTCTTGAACTAGTTATGTCCGAGGTCACCCCCGCCCCACCCAGCCGCTCTCTGGAGGCTGCTGTTGAACAACGGGTGCCTAAACGCACCACAGGCTGGTGTTTCTGTTGTGCTCCTCTGTGTTTTAGAGTGAGGTCTTTATGAGACGAAGGAGGAATCAGGAACAAGACTCCTGCTGCAGATGATGCAGCACTTAGACACCAGCTCCTCTCAGCTCCATCTCCAGCTCACCCACGGTTCTGGAGCCATCGTGTCCCACCTGCACAAGGGTTCTGCTGGACCGGGACCGGGTCATTACCTAAAGACAAGCTTCTGGTATCATTCACCAAGATTTTCATGTGTTCTGACTATAAGGACGTGAACCCGACAGAGTTTTGACACCTAAGAAAGATTGTACAGGTTCATCAGAACTAGATTTCATCCATTTTGTTTGATTTTAGGACGACATTCTCACACCCTAAGCGTCAAAAAAAGACGCGGTGTGACTGAGCGTGTGTGCTGGGAGCCCCTGCGCGTCGGGAGGCGACGCGCTGTGCCAGAGCGTCGGATACCGACGCTCTGGCACAGCGCGTCGCCTCCCGACGGTTTAAGAAGGCTCTATGTAAAAGTTGTTACTACAGCTGGAACCGAAAATTGACAATCTGCAGCAAAAGCTCATTTATGTGATTAATGCAGCTTAAAATCAGCCAGTCTGAGCTGTTAGAACACACGCGCTGCTGCCTTCACGCTGGTTCATCTAATAAATCTTTACGTCGTCGCTTTCAGGTGACAGTTGCTTATAAAGCACCGCGTCATCCAGTAGGTCCCACTGAGAGTGACGGGGACAGCTGGGATGGCACCAGTGTTGCAGCCTCTCCAGGATCGCCCCGCCCGTGTGATCTGCTCAGACTCCGCCCCTCCTCCGCCCCTCCAGGCTGCTGATGAGCCAAGCTGAGCTGAATCCCACTAATGAGCCTCGCCTGGGATAAAAGGACGTGCCATCAGTCTGGGAGGCAGCGGAGCGGGGGTTCTGCTGTCCTCCAGGCCTCGCCTTGGCTGTAACTAAACGTGTTACCTGTAGAGGATCCACAGAGGGCCCTAGGCCAGGCTGCTCTGACAGTCTCAGTGAGGGTTGGGTTATTTTAACCGTGTTTTATGTTGATACCCCTCCCCCCCGCACACACACACACTCACACACACACACACAGTAGAAGCTGCTGACAGTAATGCTGCCCTAGCCGTTAGCCCATCAGTCGTCTCACACGTAGAAGCCATTTCTCTGACCATAGGCTGTTCAGGGGAGTGAAACAGTTGTTATTTCAAGCCCGTTAGTGCGGTGCTGGTGGTTCTGACTGTGTTACTCACGTCCTGATTGGACATGTCCCAGTACGGCCGCTCCCCGTAGGACATGACCTCCCACATCACAATGCCGTAACTCCACACGTCGCTGGCAGAGGTGAATTTACGATACTGGATGGCTTCTGGCGCGGTCCATCGAACCGGTATTTTACCACCCTGATGAGTGAGAGGCAGGTCAGCGGCTGGAGCAAAGATCAGAGTCGTTAAATCCTCCAAGTTCCTCTAAAACAGTCAGCTCAGAAACACACAAAACAGCAACTGATCAGCTCAGATATGAAAGCAGGTATCGGTCTTTATTCTAAACAGGCGTTGTGAGCTGGAGCAGCTTTGGTGGTTGATAAATCAACTTTATGCAGCATCCTTTAAAAACCGTCACTAGCAGCTTCTCGTGGTTTGTGCCTGCAGCTGCTGAAGGTAAATAACTTTCTGTAGAATCAGAGGAAACGCAAGCATAAAAGCAGCTATTAGCTCTAAGTGAAGCCGTCACATTTTAACTGTTTTAAAGAGCCGAGCAGCGCGAGCGTTTCCTCACATTCCAGCGTCTAGACTCAGTAGATGTTACCTTAAATAAAAACCAGCACCGGGTCAGATCACAGAGAATGATCTCATCAGTGCTTCTTAACCTCAATCTAATTAAAGGGACTTTACGGAGTTTTGAATTTTTATGCTCGTGATCGCCCCCTCAGGCCAAAAGCGTAACGGCAGCTTCAATAGTAGGCTCGTGCACGAGGCGCATGCTGTACATGCACACTCCTTAACAAAAATAATAGCTGAGACAGTCCTGTGTGTGTGTGTGCGTGTGCGTGTGCGTGTGTGTGTGTGTGTGTGTGTGTGGCCCGGAGGACAGGAGAACGCGCAGCTAATTAATTAAATACTTTGGTTCTGTAGCTTTCTCTTCAGCACAGCCGACAAAGGTTTATGATGGATCAGTCCTCCTGCATGCTCAGATCATTCCCTTCCCTTGCTTGAAAAATTGTTCCAAAATGAAAGTTGAACCCACATCTTTTTTATCTGTGAATTCAATGCCGTTCGGCGAGTCTCAAATAAAAATTTGGGCGTCTTACTGTAAAAAATATACCATTAATGTAAAAAAGAAACTCTAAATAAACAATGTTCACATCCAGAATCAAACCCAAATCTGCTGCATGGGAGTCAGACATCTTACAAGGTGAGCTACAGTAGACGTATCTGTAACTTTCCTTGATGACAGCTGAAACAACGTCAAACCAAAGAACGGTTCGGAGTGAAAATGGCTATTTTGTTGCTAATCTGCAGGAAATATCTAGAAGAAAGTTCTACAGAAAGTAGCTAAGGGTCCTCAGAAATGTAGCTAGCTTTGTCACTAGGCGTTAGGAACAGCGACAAAGTGGCACTGCCTCTCTCTCTGCTGCTAAAGCTACGGATAGCGAATGCTACGGGCTATGCCTGAGCGTGAACGCGCATGAAGCAGCCTGCTCGACCCGAGCATCTCTCTTTTTCTGTGATTTTACAGAAAAACAGGCAATCACAGTAAAAATGCCAGGGCTCATTCTACAGGACCAGGGCATTGCAGGAGAATGTATGAAGAAGACATTTATTATTTCTATACATGTTTTGGCCGTCACACTTCCATAATGCCCCTTTAATCAGACACTAACTAGTGGAAGAGTAATCTAAAACACCTTCAGTCTGCTGAGACACGTGATGCAACCTTCAGAATAAAAGACAAACGTGCCAAGATGTTGAGGAAACAGGAAGTGGCGTGCACTCGCACTCGCGCGCGCACACACACACACACACACACACACATACACATACACACACATACACACACACACACACACACACACACACACACACACACACATACACATACACATACACATACACATACACACACACACACACACACACACACACACACACACACACACACACACACACACACACAAACTCTCTCTCTAAACGCTGTTTTGCTGCATCCTTTGCGGTTTTTTAAGCCACCTAAACTGAAGGATGTGAGAAGTTCTCTGGAAGGAACGGTCCTGATGGACACGGGTTTGGAATCTGACCCAGCAGCAGCAGCAGAGAGATAGTGATCTTCAGCTGCGTTCATCAGTCAGGTCAGCACGGCGGTGTCTTCCCTCGGATGTCTGCTTCACGTCTGATCGTCACATTTACAGCATTTTCATTTCCAGCCTGATGTAAAACCTGGCGTGAACCAGAGAGGAACCCTGACTGTGAAAACGAAGGACTGGGCCGTTTATAGGAGGCGCTGCCGCTCCTGGGAGAGCTGCTGGAGTCTACCTTGGCATGCACCTTTTGTTCTGCTCCATTTTCATGCACCAGCGGCCGCTTGATAAGAGAATTCAGACAAGGCTCTGGCTACGGCGCTAACTCTTTAATTGACTCACGGTTGTTGTGTAGACAGCCTCGGGATCGTCCTCGATCACTCTCGACAGGCCGAAGTCAGAAACTTTACATACGAGATTGCTGTTGACCAGGATGTTCCGTGCAGCCAGGTCTCGGTGGACATAGCCCATATCAGCCAGGTATCTCATTCCCGCTGCTATGCCCCGCAGCATTCCCACCAGCTGGATGACTGTGAACTGACCATCGTGTTTCTGCGCGGAGAGGGAGACACAGGCGGGTCAGCCACGGGGGAAGGTGGGTCATGGCGCCGCAGCAGCTCCAGAACAAGATTTATGATGTTTATGTGCTGCAGAGCCGCGGCTCTCTGGGAAGCTCCGTCGTGGTGCACAGGAACCTTCTAAAAGATGCTGCACCTTGTTTGGAGGTGGTACTCACCCTGAGGAAAGCATCTAATGAGCCGTTCTCCATGTACTCGATGACAATCATGACCGGCTTCCCTGAAGCAAAGGAGGAACAAAAACAGGAGCTGATTAATTAATTCCTACATTTTAGTTGCCTTCATAAAGCTTCGCTGAGCCGAACCTGGTTCCAACTTATTTTTAGCTCCACGTTTTATTTTTCTTTTAATTAAAAGTCACCATCTGGTCCTCCTGTTAAAGCGTCTAAACACGTAACGGTGGCTAACGCCATCAGACACTGTTTCATCTCCGCCTGCATGGCTGCTTCACAGGAGACCAGACGCTACCTCGAGTCACGACTCCCTCCAGGTGGACGACGTTGGGGTGGTCAAACTGTCCCATGATGCTGGCCTCGCACAGGAAGTCCCGCCTCTGCTTCTCCGTGTAGCCCACTTTCAGCGTCTTGATGGCGACCGACATGTCCCGCTTCCCGGGGAGCTTCAGCCGGCCGCTGCACACCTCTCCAAACTCTCCTGTGAGCGTTGAAAGCGCTCATGAGTGAAGGGGCCAGCAGATAAAAAACCCGGCGCCTCACACTGACACATTTATTAGTGTACTTTGAGACAAAGCACCTGCGCAGCGCTAGAATACAAATTGGAGTACGACACCTTGCTGCACCCAGGGGACTGTAACCAGAGCTATAATAAGACGTGCTGGAGACGCATGGATACCGTCGCTGACCCGCGTGGCAGCCATTCTCAGCTGCAGCTTCCTCCCCGACTGCCTCTCCCAACACGGACCACACATTAATTGTGATGAACTTTTTCCCCTCTCTGCGATCGCTCCATCAATATAAGAAGCATTAAGCTGTGTCCCCATCCAAGGTGTAAATATTTGGCTGTCAGCATGATGTACGAGCGCTCGCAGCCACTAAACGGGAAGAGCTGACGGTGGGCTCACCTGCTCCAATCACTCGCTCGATCTTTATGCAGGAGGCATCCAGCTCCTTGGCGAACTGATGGACAGCCCTGTTCGGGTCCTCGTAGGTTTCCGGGTCAGTGTAGGTTTTGGTGCCTGGAAATTTAACTGTGGAAAGGTGAGAGGGTTACTGTTATGATCAGGTACGCACGCCGCGCTCCGGCAGGCTCCTGACAGCCACACGACCACCGAGGCCAGTGAGTCAGAGGGAACGTCAGCCATGTCAGAGAGGCCCCGCAACACACACACACACACACACACACACACACACACACACACACACACACACACACACACACACACACACACACACACACACACACACACACACACACACACACACACGCACGCACACAGCTGAGGCGACCTCGCCGTCTAACCAGCCATGAGGGTTCAGCCCTGCTGCAGCACTGGAGTCAGATGCTTTTATTTTCTGTTTCCTGTAATCTGTTACCATGGCAACGCAAGGAACTAAGGACCACCAAAGCATATCCAACAATCCATCCAATAGGGCTGCAACAACGAATCGATAAATTCGATGAAAATCGATTACTAAAAGGGTTGGCAACGAAGTGCGTCACCGATTCGTTGTGTTGCACAACTCTTCCAAAAGCCGCCCCCCCCCCCCCCCCCTTCCCGCCGGCCTTTGCGCGCAGACCGGAGCAAGTCAGATCAGCGCGAAGGAGAGCCGGCAGCTGTTTGGAAGTGGAACATGGCAGAAGCAGCGAGTAAAAACTTCTAATGTTTGGGAGCATTTTCAGTTAAATCAGGCGACGACATTCGTTACCTGCAACGTTTGTAGGTCAGACTTAGCATGGCACGGGAGTGCTGCAGTGATGATGCAGCGTCTTAAACGCAAGCATGTCAGAATCATCAGCGAGGAAGGAGAGAGCTCGGTGTCCGGGTAAGTTAAAAACTTTTCAAAAGTGATTCACCCAAGCCCTGGATCTGCCACCGCTATTGGCTAAGAAGTATGCTATGATGTAAACTAGTACATTATGATGTCACAATGCTGTCGTGGGCCTGAGTGTGTGTGCATTTGTTAGCGGCTCCGCCCTCTCGGTCTGCCAGGCAACAGCGTGTGTTGCATTTTTCAAACATGAAGCGAGAGTGGAGTTAGACTCTGGTAGGGGGTGACTTGCTCTTTAAGCTGTTTAACTTGGACCAAGCATTTTAGGTCACAGATAGGTGTAGCTTAGGGTCTCTGTCTATACACTTTATAAGACAATTTAGGTGATGGCATGTTGTTTTTCTGCTATTGAACTGTTTTCTAATAATGTTTTGTTTAATAAAGTGAAGGAAGGAGAGAAATAACGTTTCCTTAGCAGTTTTTAAAAATGTCCCCATGTAATCCGATTAATCGATTAATCGTGTCGAGACCCCATCCGATTCATCGATTATCCAAATAATCGTTTGTTGCAGCCCTACCATCCAATAAACCATCTAGACACCCATGCAACCATTTATCCATCCAGTTTACCATCTGAGCACGTGTGAGGTTATCGTTTTCACAGTTCGGCTACTGGTGAAAAGTTCACTATTAAACTTTTCCTACTCAGATTTCAGCCGTCCGACTTATAAACTGTGTTCAAAGATTTCAGTTTTCTGCCGTTTGGGATTTTATTCTTCACTTTAACCTACTTTTTGGACTTTTTTACGCTTGCTGGTGATTTTTTCTTCTAAATCTTTAAAATCATTCAGCTCATTTAGAAAATTTTACTTAGTTTCGACTTCCCTTCAGCCAATCA